CTTGGGTTTTGTCGTATTTTCTTGGGACGAATAATATATCTGTGGGCCCCACACATGCCCCACCAACGCAGCTGAGATACGGCCGCATTCGCAAGATGATCTAGTCTGGCGTCAGCGTGGCTGTGACGGCACAGATACCTGAATAAGCGCTCTCTCAGCCCGCCACAGTCTCAGGACACATAACGACAGACTCGGCAGCGTGCACCCCGAACCTAGCTAGGCCCTATAAGATGCCCATAGCACCCCAGACTCGTCGCCAAGCCTCGCAAACCCTCAATACCACACAGACTGAAGACGACGGCGACGACGTTAGCGACATGCGTTCAGCGCTGGATAGAACAATTGACAGGATTGGGATGGGTGCGTGCTTCGTGGTTGCTGTACTCGGCATACTTACACGCTGTTGATAGGTCCATATCAGTGGGCATTGCTCGCCCTGTGTGGCTTCGGTATGTTTTATATAACACGCTCGCGCGTGCGTGCTCCCAACTCATTGCGCGACGTTCACAGGCTGGGCCGCAGACAACGTAACTATATCTTGCATCCCATCCGAGCCTCCATTCACACAGCCGTTTCCATGCATTCTTCGTCCATCCTGCCTCGGATCCCACGCCCACCGTTAGATGTGGATGCAAGCCATCACCATCATCCTTCCCCGCGTACAAGACGAATACGCCGTACCAGACTCGCAAATCGGCTTTCTCTCCACCTCGGTGTTTTTCGGCATGATGTTTGGGGCACTCGGCTGGGGCTCGTGCTCGGATGTCGTTGGCCGACGAATGGCGTTCAATCTCACGCTAGCATTTACGGGCTTATTTGGGGTGCTTGCGTGTTTTGCGAGCAGTTTTAGGAGCTTGTGTTTTTTCTTATTCCTTCTAGGGACAGCTGTTGGCGTGAGTGCTCGTAGTACCTCCCAAAAACTCGGTTAACAGCGTGACATTTGCAGGGGAGCATGCCCACGGATGGAACGCTATTCCTCGAGAACGTGCCAAAACGAAAACAGTATCTCCTTACGGGACTATCTTTATTCTTTTCACTTGGATCGGTGGTGAATGCCGTCATCGCCATTCTCGTCATCCCGGGCAACAGCTGCCCAGAAGCCGTTTCGGTCACCAGTGGCCGTTCCGGCACCTCATTCCTTGGGCTCGCGCGGACGCTAGTCTCCTCAGACAGTCATGATACGACACGAGATGAGAGCAAAAAAGCTCCTCCGTGTGACATAGAGACACAGAATCGGGGCTGGAAGTACCTACTGGTCATCCTGGGGATAATTGTGCGTAGCGCGTTCCAGCCCCCGGCCCGTTGACGCTAAGGGCTACCGCAGACGATTGTGATGTTCGTACTCCGCATTATTTTCTTCCGGCTGTACGAGTCGCCTCGGTACTTGGTTGCAAACGGCCGTAGCGCCGAGGCTGTTGCTGCCTTGCAAAGTATTGAGGACTACAACATGAAGTGAGTCGCGCCAGTCATAGCCTTGCTCCAATATAACAACTTTGACAACCCCAGATACACTCGCAAGCGGACTCGACCAAGGCTTGTGATCACCCTTTCAGATGTATGTGACACGAAACCAAGCGTCATGGAAGGCGAAGAATGCGTTTTATCCGGCGCGGGCGACGACGAAGAAGCAATGCTAAGTTCTTCACCCCGATCAGAGGGCGCAACAAACGAGAACAAGGTCCAAACTCCCGATAGTGACAAAGAGAACGGTCGGTCACAAGCGCTCGCGCAACAAGTGGCCGATCCTGCAGACTATCAGTCGACTGAAGTCACCCCGGAAGGTGTCGTTAGTCGGGAATGGTCGTTCCACACACCTGGTCTACCGCGCGGAGAAGACAGCGGGTCATATTTTGAAGGGAAGCAGACGCCTGCACTTTCAGACGAAGAAGCTGCACCCTCGCGCTCGAGTCGGAGTAGAAGCCGCCTCGCACAGGCACGGAGACCACAGATGCCCCCTCGTTCCAGGTCCTCGATATACGTGGAACAGACGCTCCCCCCGACTATCGGAAGGCCCGTTGCAGTATGGCTTGACCGAGTGGGGATGTTGTTCACGCGCAAGTGGTGGCTTACAACGACACTAATTTGGTTGGCATGGTGGGGGATATCATTGGGTAAGTTGTATGCCTTGTGCGCGAATGCTGCTCTAAAAGAAAGACATTGGTTAGCATATACAATGTACAACGTATACCTGCCAAAACTCCTCGAACAGCGGCTCGGCGCGACAGGGTCAGAAGGCAGCAGCAGACTGGAGGCACTACGGGATATGGTTGTGTTCAGCATAGCCAGCTGTCCAGGCGCTTTAGTGCGTACCTTATACTCAGAATTCGTACTTTAGTTCTCACAGATCTGTGCAGCTTGGCGCGTGGATGGTAGAATCACCACTGGGGAGACGCAAGTCTCTCGCGCTTAGCCTGCTTGTAACGGCGGGCTTTTGCTATGCGTTTACGCAAGTGAATAGCAAGTTTGGTGTTATGTGGAGCACCACCGGGGTGTCACTGGCCACGACAGTTATGTGGGCCGTTTTGTACGGCATGACACCGGAGATATTTGATACAAAAGGTGAGAAATGAGCCTGCCGTAATTGTGCTGGAGCTGACTGTCGCGTCAGTTCGAGGTACAGCATGCGGGATAGCCTCTGCCTTGAACCGAGTGTGAGTACCTAATACTATGCTGGTACTTTAACTTATGGCTTTGCAGGGGAGGCATGATTGGACCTATTCTAGGTGGAATCCTGATAGGGTCATCCACGTCACTTCCGGTTTATACTGCAATCTGCATTTTCATGTTCTCGGCCGTTTGCGTTTTGTTACTGCCCTTTGAGAAAACCCCAGACGAGGGCGAGGGTGAAGGAGAGGATGGAAGGGGAGAGTATTCTGTCTTGCACTAGTTTGACCTCGTGGCTAGGGGATACCCCACAATACAGGCTTGGTGTGTATTGTAGAGTGCGCTGTTCGTTTAATGTAGAATTTTACTGCTGGTTTTCGTCGGCGAGCTGGAATTGTAGAAAACCGAAACAAGTCTCTTGCTCTCTGCTCTGTTGCCCCCTATATGCGTGCTATTTGTTCCCGCTAGGTTATCTCGCTATTGCCGAGCCCATATTTATGAGGCCCCTGCCACGACGTCGTATCGAATAGATTTAGGACAAAACTGATCCACTGAGTATTCGCATTTGCGCCCCTACAATGAAGTTTTCAAGCGGATCCTCGCGGAGACTTGGTCAGGCCAACCAGCCACACCCGAGTGAGCCGGGGACTTGCAGCCAATCGGGTCAACTTACGTGATGCTCAGCTGATTAGTCACTCGTTGAGACTTGATAGCCTCCACCTCCCACCCAGCAACTTGTCGAGCAACGAAAAAGTGCTTAACAAACACGAACGTACACTTTAACCTCCACCCAGCTGTCACGCTATAAACACGACTCGAGGTCGAAAATGACACCACAAGCAATCCCTCGGCTCTCCCACTCGTCTTGCAATGGTGTCCACTTCACGGGAACGCATACATCTACTAAAATAGGCGGTTCACCTATCTTAAATGTCCTTCGACTTCAACGCATTGGCGAAGTATTCATCCCGGCTGAAAGGCTATAGGCATGCGCAAAGCGAGACACAGCCAAGGCACGGTGTCTCGCTTGAAACTTGTTTCGGTCCATAAAGCTAGAAACGTTCCCATTGGCCTTGGGTAAATAACTCCAACCGTCCGATTCACTAAATCTGCACCTATGAGTGATAACGTCTCAAAGAGTCCATAACATCTCATAGCACGAACACGTCCAACCACAAACCGTCTGCCCACATCTCTACCCTGCCACCTGGTATTTTAGACAAACTTCCACGTCACTCCGTGCAACTTTCCGGTAGCTATATCCCAAATAGGTCCCATAAGCCAAGTGGCATTCGGCTCACGAAACACACTCACCGAGCGGAGCCAAGTCTTTAAACGCAGCGGGGGACAAGTCAAGGTCGTTGTTCCCGCAGGCAGAGCACCTATCCACGATCTTCACCTTGGTTGACTTGCCGTGCCACGTAAGATGTACCATCTTGCCACACGCCTTGCTGTGGTTCGGGTTGCCGTCTGTTCATACACAGCGACGCGCTTAAGACTAGAACTGGTGGGTATATGCGCTATACTTACCGACCATCATCTTCTGGTACAGGTCCGTGCCAATCGCGCCTACGTGCTCGCTATCGCTCTGTACTCACAACAGTCGTTATCATTTTGTGGTGGCCGGGTAGAAAGTGCCAAATGCACGCACGTTGGACCATCCACAAGCTCCTACGCCGGCAGATGGGCTGTCTGGATACGTCAAGTATTTTTAGAACGCGACAAGTCAAAGCATCCAACGAAATACCCACAGTGAGTTGCCTACATGTTGCCAGTTAGCTACTCGTGTTATATAGCAGGTGAACATGTACTTACCCATCCTTGGCGAGCAGCAATGGCGAGCGGGTCCTCGGCTTCGACAGGAGCAGCAACAGCAGCACCGGCGAGCCCAAGGGTGAAGCCGGCAATGACAGCGAGCTTAGTGAGTGTGTACATGTTGTATCGATTGGAAAACTGCAGTTGGCAAGTGGAGAGTGTGTAAGAGTCGATGCAGAGCCAACAACTGTTCAGCAAGCATTATATATGCGCACCGATGCCCGCCCTCGCCTTGAGCGCACCAGCGCTCTGCCATAGTCTGTCTATGTTACCTGACCGTACAAGCCGGTGCGCGAGGGCTCTCCGCGACGGTGGAACCGGTCGAAGTCCAAGCGTCGTCCGAATTACTTACGCGACGCCGCCGACTATCGCACAGCATGGTCGGCCGCGAGTAGACAATTGTCCAATAACCGTTTTGGCCGACCAATACATGGTTGTGGCGCGCCGCGATGACCAGCCGGTCGTAGTTCGCTACATGGACACCAAAGCCGGGGGCTGTTCGTGAGCAGACGCCCAGAGTTCTCGCGATAATAGTAGATAGGGTGACGGACTATGATAGTACCCACGGATCAAATAACAAGGGTTGCATAGTCTAGTGGTTATGATATCTGCTTTACATCGCGTTCGCAGAGGGTCTCAGGTTCGATCCCTGATGCAGCCATTTTGCTGTACTCTTTCACGAGTTGGTCCTTGGTATTTGGTGTTCAAACCTCCGAGTTCACACTTTTACCCCGGGAAATGAGTGATACATCCATCCCATAATACAAATCTTATACTACACGCAACTAAAAGAACAGCATGGTCCAAAATCGCAGAACACGTCTGTTACAACTCCCTCCGCAACGTCCCACCCGTAATCCAGTTCACCCAGCTCGACCACCACCCGCTCCCGTAGCCAATAGGCCGTAAAAAAGCCCGGTAGGCGACCATGAGTCCTGCTAGTGTTACGGTGAGACCGAGTGCTACCTTTCGTCGTGCGACCGTGGCCGAAGCTCGGTCTGCTCCCCCAGGGATTGCACTTAACCTGAGCCGAGAGTGAGTCTTTAAGTCCCAACATGGGATGATGCTGTGTCACGCACGGGTTTATTGCAGTGGAGACAATCTCTGGGAACAAGTTTGCGATTTGAGAGTTCTTGATGCTGACTGCATATGGTCCTTGGAGACCCAATCTTCGGCAATAGACATCAGGCTGAACCTCATGTCGCTATCCAGTGGATCAGCTTCGTTTCTTGAAATATTACTAGCTCTTTACTTACTTGCTGCGCCAAATCTAGGTCTGATTTCGTGGCCACAAACATGCTGGGGATATGATCCAAGCTGTATTGTTGCTAAGTTTAGAGGTGCGTCAGATGATATGGAGAGGGTGTGTGGTAGCTATGATGCTTACTCTTAGATTGCTGATATACGAAAACGAATTCGTATCACTCGAGTCGTGCACGTATATAATTACGTCGGCTAGATCCATGATTTTTGCGTCCCGCAGCATGTCCGCCTCACTCTTTGACCCAAACTCTCGCATCTATATCTCAGATATTCAGCCAAATTCAGGGGTCAGCCCATGGAGCGGTAGCAAACTTACAACTAGATATTTTTCAGCACCTCTTAACTCGACAGCTCCTACAACGCTCAGCACCTTCTCCGTTGGTCTGTACGGTCCAACCTCATCCAGACCTCCCTTGCCTTTCCCTTTGGCGGTTTCCTTTCCAGTGACGTTGCCTCCCACACCCCCGCCGCCTACCTCTCGGAAACAGTTCAAGATAGAAGACTTGCCGGATCCAGCAGCGCCAACAACATAACACAGGAAGACGTTACGCGTGACTTTGCCTTTGCGCCGTTCCGCTCGTCGAGGTTTTGTGATTTTGAGAGCGGAGGTAGTTGGACCGGCGTTGTAACCAAGGTATGCGAGGTATGCAAGAGTCTTTTTGTGATCTAGTAGGGTTGTCATGCTATGGTAGGTATTAGGACTGGTATTCTGCAGCCTGACGATGAAGCTATAGTTGCGTACCTCCATTTTGCCAGCCAATGCTGTAAGGTGATTGTTCCATCTACACCTTCGTCATCGTCCGCAACCCATGGATTTCCTGGTGATGTGTTGAACAAGTTATCCAGCTCCTCTGGTCGGAGTGCGCCATCTTGGTCCTAATATAGAAAATTACTATACGGTGAAGCCATAGTGTATCCAGGCCGGGTTGGGCGCATACCTTATCGAAGATTTGGAAAATATCAGTGAAGAACTGGTACCCTTGTGGGCTAAGTTCGACAGAGCAGTCTTGTGGGACATCGAATCTCGAATAGAGAGCGAACATAAATTTAGGCACTCCAGTAGCGAACGTTTAACTCACTTGGGTGCCAACCATCCCTCCGTTAACTTCAGGTCCTCCGCATACCCGAATTGTCTCAATACAATCCAGGTCGTTTCTACCCTGGCACGTCTGATGAACTCGGTATGTAGGTACAAGAACCCATCTTCCGTCACGCCCTCTTCTATAGGGGGCGTGCCAGGAGGCGAGTCACGAGGCGAAGACTGAGGTGGGGATGGGGCAGGGCGAAGCATGGAGGGGTCATGGCTTCGAAGGATAGTCTTGATCCCTTCAACTTCTTGGGGTTGGAGTGGGGATTTGAAACAAGTTTGCTAGAGTGCGCTCGTGAATTACAAGGGCCAAGAGGTTAGGCGAGAACATACCTGAAATTCGTTAAGTTCGTGTGTGTCAAGCACTCCGTCTTTGTTGGTATCGCACAACCGGAATATCCGCCGAAGAGCATCAACAGCTGCGGGCTTTAACGTCTGTATAGACAAATCAGCAATCGGCAACGACAACTCCTTGTCTGGGTAGGAGCAGCGCTGCGAGATGAAGGGTCTATACTTACATGTTCTCGTGAGTCGTACAAGGGCGCGGTTGGATGGAGTACTGCTTTTTGCGCAAAGAAAATGATGCCAGCAATGTTGGTTGGAATTCGTGCGGAGCACTCGACGCAAGTCTCTACTTCCTGAATAGTTAGAATTAGTTAAGCACGGCGGGGGCAGGTTAATAAAGGCGAGGTACTTTGAATTCCTCCATAATTGGCGCCACTTCATTTTCAAGATCCTCGTTGGAGACCTCCCCGCCTCGTAGGTCGATTTTGTTTCCGACAAGGATAACAGGAACCTACGCAGACCGTCGAGTCAAGCACAACGGACGCCTTGACCAAAAAGATACGTACATTGACCCCTAGTGACCTGAAGTAAGGTAACCAATATGCTCCAACGCGGTCAAATGAGTTGGGGTTGTCGATAGCATAAACCACACATATTACGTGTGCTTTGCGGATTTCTGAATCCAAATGGGGTCGATCAGCAGGACCAGCTGGAGAAATAACGGGTAAGTAAGAGCCTTTAGGAGCACGCACTGAGCACTCACCTGACGAATCAACAATATAGGTGGTGACATTCTCGGGTGTTACTTCGGGAGGTATGGTCACCTCTGGTACGACATGCTGGACCTGCGAGGTGTGTGAGCTCTCCGTCCAGGGTGTCGCATGCGACTCACGTACATTATCGACGTACTCCTCCTTGATGAGGGAAGTTACAATCGTGCTCTTCCCAACTCCCTCTACCCACGATAGATTGATAATTTAGCGAGGAATGAATGCACGCGAGGCTTACCATCGCCAACTAACAATACACGAACGTCGCGGCGCATGTCGGTGGGCGGGGTAAAGGTAGGAGGAGGAGCGGGGGAGAAGGAGAGGGCTGGGAGATACGCGGGGTAAGGAGCAAATGGACGCGTTGCCCTTTTGGCACTTTCTGCTTAGCTCAGCTGCCCAAAACACAACATCCCAGCTTCCTCATTCGGTCTCTGCTCTCATGCTGATCTTTGCCCTTGCGCACAGATGTCTCAAAAAGCAACGATACGTATTGCATACACAGACATAGTACAAAGCGGACATTAAATAGCGCATAACAAGGTGGAGCATCCACGAACAGAGGGTCTAACTCGCCAGGAGTGAGGAGATAGCCTTTTCCCGTCACTTGAAGTTCGCGTAGAGGGTTGAGCAACCTAGTGACAGCGAAGGAGGTCGAAGAATAAGGGTGATACGACGAGAATGGGAGGGAAGGAGGTAGGAATACAATGCCAGGAATTGTCAGTATCATATTCAAAGCCGCGCTCTGCGGGCAAATGTTGTCAGAGTGCCGAATTCGTTAATTGTCGCACTCGTGCCACAATGCTCGCAAGGCCTCGAGGTCCCGCATTTGGGAACATTGGAGCTACAGTCCTCCGGACATCATCATCTACTCGTGCAACAAACCATGAGTCAAGGGAGCACAGCGTGTTAACAAGTAAAATCTTATAAGAAATACTCACCGGACGCGCTCAAGTCCCTCGCGTGTACATCCGTGCATGTTTGATCCCTGCAAACGCCACTAGGAAACTCGTACTGGCACAGCTTGCGGTTCGCGTCTTGACTGTGACCAGCAGCTGAAGATATCCAATATATCGTTGGTAGTTGTTGGTCCGTTGGGGCTGGTGGTTGAAAGTTGGGACTAGTGAAGCCGGCCAGTGGCGACCTATATATCTTGAAATGTGTCTAAATAAAACATGCAATAATTTCGCGATGCCCATCCGCCTTAGCACCGAAACAAACTGGGTTTAAAAAACGTAATCGAGAAGAATACGCACCGAAGTTAAGTCCCGTTCCATTAGTTGCGCCGGGTCACCCGACTGGGTCGGATCCTCTGGGATTGCCTACGAGAAATAAAACAATCAATTGACTCGGCGGGCCCCCAAAATAAGAGTGTATCCTTGCCGCTGCCGAGGCGCCCATAACAAAGTCTACGTGGCGGGTCAGTAACAAGGCAAACCTCTTATCATGAGACACGCCTTTAGAATCTCTAACAACAGCTAGAAACATGGATCAGTACAACATGCGTGTGCTCCGCACATACTCACCTTCAGCCTCTGCGGCTTTACCCTTTCCTTTGTCCGATTTAAGCACCGGCATCTCCAAACCGGGATCTAAGGCAAAGATTAGTGAAAGTTACATAGTTGAATGGCTTGTTACGAACCTGGTGTGCCATCGCTAGGAGCCGGGACCTCCACACCCGGTAATCCCGTTTCTGCCGGCGTCAAATCTATTGAACCGATATTGAGATGCTACGTAGTAAAAGTACTATGGGGTCACCTTGTTGAATATCCGAAGTCGACGCCACGCCTACTCTTGTCTCCGGCTTCATTGCCTCCATTGTCATAGCTGCGATGTCGGAAAGCTCACTAGGAGGTGGTACACTGGGCAATGGCGGAAGCGCCACAACTCCCTCAGGTGCCGGAATGACACTGGCAGCCGCCATCACGGGTGTTCCACCTGCACTAACACACCCCGTCTTTTTCTTCAGTTCTCGCATTTTGATCTTCTGCATCATCGCCTTGATCTGAAGCTCCTTTTCCAGCAACATCTGCGCTGCCATGTCGCGACCTCGGTCGGCACCCGGCCAGCTGCTTCCCCCATTGCTTGTGGTTCTCTCTACGCTCCCTCTGCTGGTAGAAGTTGAAGCAACGCCCGTACTCGCTCGGAATCCTCCCTCGGCTTCGTCTTCGTCTTCGTCTTCTTCGTCCGAACTATCAAGGTCGATTACGAGTCGCTTTGGCCAAACTTGAGGGTCGACAAAAGAGCATTTTCTCTTGA